CGCCCCCGCCCCCGCCGCCCACCTGGATCTCCAGCTCGGCGATGCGCTGCCGCATCTCGGCCACCGCGGCCATGCTGTCCGCCTCCCGCAGGCGCACGGCCATCACCTCCTCCTTGCTCTGCGGAGGGGAGGAGAGGGCGGGTCAAGGGGCATGGCGGGTCAAGGGGCGTGGCGGGGCGGGGGGGCGCACCTTGCACTCGGCCTCGGCCTGCTTGCGGCGGCTTTCGCTGAGCTGTGTCTGCAGCCCCTTGTTCTGCGCCGCCAGGTATTGTAGCTTCTCCTGCAGCGCCGCGCGCTCCGCCTCCACGCGGTTCAGCAGGTTGCGGTGGATGTGGTCCTGGGGGAGGAAGAGAGGGAGGGCAGACCGGCGGAGGTCGCAGCCTAGCCTCTGACACGGAGTCCCCTCCCGCAGACGGGCGGGCGTTGGAGCCCACCTGCGTCTCGAGTTCCACCACGCGCTGCCGCAGCTCGCGGCCCTCGGCCAGGGCCTGGGCCTCCCGCAGTCGCACGCTCATCCCCTCGCTGTCCTTGGCCGGCCGCTCCAGACGGCGGAAGAAGCGCGCGTCGCGAGGGGAGAGAGGGTAGAGTGCGTCCTGCAAGGCCGCGCCCACGCCCACCCCCACGCCGAGCAGCTCCTCGTCCGATGACGGCAGCGAGTCCTCATCCAGGTGCCGCGCCAGGCCCAGACCGTCGAAAGCCAGTGGGTCCTCGAAGGGCGGCGGGCCCTTCAGCAGCCGCACCTGGGGCGGGGGACCGGCGCGCTGGAGGCTTGGGCCGACGCGCCCATGCAGGAGTCCGGCCGCCCGGGACCCTCCGACCCGGCCCTCCTAGCCGCATCCTGCCCAGGGCACGACGCCCGCCTGTTACTGATATGCCCCGCGCCCGCCAGGGCTGCCCGGCGCTCACCTCGGCCTTCAACTCTTCGATCTGGTCCTTGAGCTCGCGGATGTATTGCGACGAGTCCGAGTGGTTCAGCTGGCCCTGGATGCGGCCTTCCTCCGGAGAGGGCGGGTCAAGGGGCATGGCGGGTCAAGGGGCGTGGCGGGGCGGGGGGGCGCACCTTGCACTCGGCCTCGGCCTGCTTGCGGCGGCTTTCGCTGAGCTGTGTCTGCAGCCCCTTGTTCTGCGCCGCCAGGTATTGTAGCTTCTCCTGCAGCGCCGCGCGCTCCGCCTCCACGCGGTTCAGCAGGTTGCGGTGGATGTGGTCCTGGGGGAGGAAGAGAGGGAGGGCAGACCGGCGGAGGTCGCAGCCTAGCCTCTGACACGGAGTCCCCTCCCGCAGACGGGCGGGCGTTGGAGCCCACCTGCGTCTCGAGTTCCACCACGCGCTGCCGCAGCTCGCGGCCCTCGGCCAGGGCCTGGGCCTCCCGCAGTCGCACGCTCATCAGCTCGTCCTGCAGCTCGCCCAGGACCAGCTTCCGCGGGGACTCCTTCCAGCGGCCGCCGCGGGACAGATGGGCCTGGGGGGGGAGGGTCCGAAACTCGAGTGGCCAGCCTCCGCGGGAACTGCCTTCCCCGCGGGGAAGGCCCGAGAGGGCTTACGGGCCGCTCTGCCCACCCCGCGCCCCAGCCCGCGCCTTCACCTGCCAGGTGTCTGACAGCTCCTGCAGCTGCAGTCTTAGCTCCCGCGCTGAGGCCACGGCCTCGCCTTCCCGCACCTTGAGCGCCTTCAGTTCCTCCTGCAGCCGCGCCACGTTGTTTTCATCGGGCAACGAGCTGTTCCTCTGGGGAGAGAGAGGTGGTCAGGGCCCGGGGGAGCTGCGCAGACACATGGTGCCCTGCACCCCATGCCACGTTTCCTCTGAGCTCCTCCTTGGGCACAGTGGCTGGGGGAGGGCGGCACTCTGGACCAGAGGATACCTGTGGAACAGGGACCAGACCCATAGGAGCAGACCCCATCTGCGTAACCCCAGCCGGAGATCTTCATCTGTAAACTGGGTGCAGTACAATCTCTGCTCTCACAGGGCTGTCCTAGGACACCCCATAAATCATGGGTCCTCCATGCACATCATGGCTGATGACACCAGGCAGGCTGGGGGAGTGAGGGTTGTTAACAGGAGCTCACCCACCTGGGAGTCAGAAATCCACGCCCCTCGGGCCTATGACCAGACTCGGACCTGCCCCAGCAGGAGCTGAGAAGACTGGGTGGAAGCTCCCTGTGCTCCCCCAGGCCAGGCCAGGCAGCCACTCTCCCTGGGAACGGGCTGTGGGCCAGGCCTAGTCCACATCCTGGCGTCCCCAGGGTTCAGCAATGGGGGATTTGTGTTCCAGGCTCTTGGACCAAAATCTAGCTTACTGGACCAAGTCCTCACTGGCCCTTGTTTGGATCTGGGGTTGGGAGTGAAGGTAGCAGGATCTTCTGGATGTGCATTTCCCACCAGCTCTTGGTGGTGATGGGGGCCAAGAGGCCAGTGGCCCTTCAAAAGCTGCAGAAGAGACACGGGAGGGAGCGGGGACTCCCCAAACAGCACAGGCATCAGGGGGTGGGGCATGGCTACCGCAGTGTGTGAGCAGGTCCCGGCACCTCCCTTTTTCTGGCAGCTCTATGAGAGAGTTGGGTCAATGCCGAGTCAGAAAGCACTTGAGGAGGAACACAGGCCTGGCACCCCCTCCAGGCAGCAGGCAGGGGAGAGTGGACCCTAGTCTGCCCTCGGGTGGTGTCTCTGTGGGAATGGAGGGGGCAGCCCTGATGGGCCTGGGTCTTCCCTTCCCACCCTCCCACTTCCTCCATCCTGGAACCCAGAGCCTGGGGGAGACACATGCAGGTGGGATAGGGTATTCGGAAAGTTCACGAAGGCCACCACACTGCTGGTGTGCTCCACGTGGGGTTCTGCTGTTGTGTGAGCAGGCGGCCAGGCATGTGTGTGTTCTGTGTGTGTGTGTGTGTGTGTGCATGTGTATGTACCCCCAAAGGCTTGGGAGGGTCTTGGGGCAAGGTGTCCAACTTCCCATCCTCCCAGATCCTCTTGTGCAAACCACGGGGGAAGGGGCAGGTGCCGAATGAGCCAAGGAGGCACCCCAGGTTGGAAAGCAGCAGGCAGAGGATGCCTCCTCTGCAGGAACTGACTGGTGTGGGGGTGGGGGGATTCTGACCTGGGGACACTCCCCGCTGGTCACCCTGGCTGCCCCTTCTCCTTGGCTCCCAAAGCTTACCCAGGGCCCCCACCCCAACACCTTCCCACCCACCCAGTCGCACCTTCTCCATGTCTAGAACCTTGTCCTGCATTTCCCGAAGGGCACCCAGGGTTTCTGTCTCCCGCAGCCGCGACTGCTCCAGCTCCGTCTCCAGATGGGACACAAAGTCCTCGGTGAGGCGTGGGTTCTCCTGGGGGAGGCAGAGTGCTGCACTGGGTCCCAGGCTGTGGCTGGGGGCTGGGCAGACTCCATGTTAGCTGGCTGTGGGCCCAGGCTTCGGCCCCCTGCCATGCTCTGTGCCTAGGAGTCCTGGCATCTGTGCAGCTGGCTGGGCTGAGCCACTCTCCTGGGAAAGCCACACAGAAGGGACTTTCCATGGCCTCAGGATGTCCCTTAGGGGACGCCAACGACTGTGGTTTCCCGGGATCACCGGGTGGGGGTGGAGGATGGGTTCCTGCTGTGCGGTCAGTGGCTTAACCACACATGGGGATGAGGGCGCTGCCTCGGGCAGGGGCGGAGCTCCAGGCTACGCGTCCTGTCTCTTCTCCTCCCTCCTCTACGTCCCCTGCTCTGCCACCACTTCAAAACAGGAAAGCTAGGGGGGAAAGTCTGCTGGGATCACTCTCAGTACCCAGAAGGCTTCTCAGGGGCACTCCAGTGGGGGACCCGGGAGTGATGGACGCTGTGAAGCTCAGGCTGCCACCTGGGCCTGATAAAGGAGAACTAGCCCCTGGGTTGTGGCCCCCTCTTTCTGTCCTGATGGCCTGGCCCAGCCCCTCTTGTCTGCCACCCCTTCCTCAGCAAGAGATTCCTTCACTGGCGTCCTGCTCCCTGCCCTTGACCACTGTGTGTCTCTGAGATCCAAAGGTGCAGTGGCCCTGCCTTGGCCCAGATGGGCTCTAGGCCCTGTGCGGAGCCCCTGCCAGGCTGTGCCTTCTCCAGGCCACCTCCTCTGCCTGCAGTGGGCTCCTTTTGGGCCTGAGGATGTGATCCTGGGCTCACGCATCTCTGCATCCCCCCATGACCAGAGCTCAGGGGTGGCTGGTAAAGTCTCTCTGACTGGCCTGAAAGGGGACATTGTGCCATGGGGGGTGGTGGATGATCTCAGCCTCAGTTTCCCTATCAGTATGCTAACTCAGAGCAAGGTGGGACTACAATGCTCACAGGCTCTGAGGGTCCCAGTGCTGGTGTTATACCAATGTGGCCCATGAGGGGCAAGCGAGAAATAGTGCAGCTCTGCCCCACCTCCCCAGGGCCAAGGGAGCAACTTGAATCCCACAGCCAAGGCCTGAGCTAAGGTCTCCAGAGCTGGAGACCAGAGCCAGGGGGTGGGGGCACCCCCTGAGCAGATGATCGTTCCTGCTTAAGCCCCCATGGTTTCTCCAAATCAGAGACCTACACCCCACTGCCAGGCCCTGCCAGGTCAGCCCTGGACTACAGGTAGCTAGCTGGCAGGGCCTACAGCATCTCCCTGCCTCCAGGCTTGGGCTATGCACCTGCGGGCAGTTTCTCCCATAAGGAAGGCCACCTGTTGGGTACAGCTGCAGGAAAACCCTAAATGTCCCCTCCTGGAAGAGAAGCAGACTTTTTGAGTGGTGCTCTACCTTATGGGCCTGCCAGCACCAGATCCAGAGTTCACACCCCACGATAGACAGGGGCTGCCCCTCACCTGCCAGCTCAGAGCGTTGGGCACAGACCAGACTTCTTGCTCCCCAAAAGACCCTGACTACCCCACCACCCTCTTCTGAGGGCAAAGTCCTGGCACTGGAGGAGGGAGATCCCACCATGCATGGCTGGCCGGAACGGGGGTTGGGGGGGAGCCCAATGATTCTTCAAACCCTCAGGAGATGCAAGGGCTCCCCCAAGGAGTCACAGCCCCGTTTGGTGTGGCTGTGTGCCTGTGCCAGGGAGGGGACCCTGCAGGAACAGCCTGGTTCTCCGAGGCCTCCGTGCTGGGGACCAGGGAGGTAGACTGCCTGGCTCTCAAAGCAGACACCCACCGGGTGGCGGGGAATGGCAATCACCGGAAGCATCCGAGTCTGGGGCCGCTCCCTGTGGGGAGGGGCTCGGGGAGAATCTGCTGTCTCTAGGTCCCCCTCCCCACCTCGGGAAGGAACAGGAAGACCACGGGCTGATGCAGGGCTGGTCCAGTCTTGAAGGCCGCCGGCGTGGGGCGTGGGCGTGGCCCCGCCCGGAGATCCCGCCCCCGCGGCCGGTACCTGCTGCTCCTGCAGCTGCCGGATGGTGCTCTGAGCCTTCTGCAGGTCCTCGGCCGCCGAGCTGCACTGCTGCCGCACCACTGCCAGCTCCCGCTTGATGACGTAGTTCTCCTCGGCCTCCTGAGCCCGTGTCACCTGCCCCTGAGCACAGCGAGGATGGGGAGGAGGGCGTGACCCTCTGTTCCTACTCCAGGCCCTGCCTTGGGCCACATAGGGGAGGGGCGGGGAGGGGCAGAGAGGGCGGAGATGCGGGGAAGTGAGAGGAGCGAGGCCTCCCGCACTCAGAGCCTGGCATGGGGTGCCCCACTGGGCCTGGGGACGTGGGCGGGGGACAGGCAGGAACAGATCCATCCTGAGCCCGGGCTCTGCCAGGCTTAAATGGCGATGGGAGCTGCCCACAGCTCCTCCCCCTGCCCCGTTCTGGCTCTTGGTCTCTGCCCCAGGTGAGGTGCGTAGAAACAAGTCCTTTTCCAGGGCCAATGGCACAGCAGAGGTCACCTCTGCCCGTTCGTGCCGGGCTCTGATGGTGAAGATGGGGGCTGGGGGCAGTCACAGCCCCAGTGGCTCCCTGGGGCTGGCTGTCTTCACTGGCCTGGGAGGTGGAATACACCTCTCCCAGGGGTCTCCACCTGCCTGGGGCTGAGATCCCTCTTCCCCACCTCATCTTCTCACCCCACCCAATTGGGGTCCCCCATTCCAGACTCGGAGCCACCAGTTGGCAGGTGGAAGCTTCCAGATCAAGCCATTCAAGATGAGGTGGCAGCAGAAGCAGGCGAGTGAGAGAAGATGGCAGGCTTTGCAGGTAGGAGCAGAGAGGAGCAGCGTGAGGGGCCAGATGGGCAGGGTGTGTGTGTGTAGCTCAGCACAGTGCACACACCAGGGCCTGAAGCTGATATGCTCTTAGGGTCCCCGAGCCCTCCTGGTTTCCTAACCAAGTAACTTGGAGGAAGGAAGCTTTCTGTACATGTGCATGTATGTTCACACCCAGGCACACTCACAGACACCCTCCTCCCCCCAGGAAAGCCTCTCTCTCCCCCGGAAGCAGTCCCCAGCTGCCCCATGCATGGTGCCAGGCCTGCCCCCCTCAACCCCGGAATGGCAGCAGCCAGGGAAGAGGTGGTTACTGGCTGTCATGTGCAGGGACCAGGGAAGGGGCCAGGATGGAAACCGGAGAGGGAGACGAAAGCTACAGTACCTGGATTAACCTATCAGCCAGAGCAGCGCTCTCCTGCCCGGTGGGCGGGCGGGCGAAGGGGGTTCCGAGCGACAGGGGGAGGAGGCAGAGCGGAAGGCGAAGGGACAGGAGTGGGGAGAGACAGACAAGAACCACTTGTCACTAACGCGGTGGACTATCTCTAGAAGCAGGGGAGAGAGGAGTGAAGACCAGAGAACCAGCAAGAGAGGACCTGGAGGAAGACCAAAGCCAGAGCCAGCTCCGTCCCAGAGAGGGGTTCGTGTGTGATGGGGAGGTTGGGGTGCCCAGGGCTGCTGAGGAGCTGCAGGGCTGGGACACCCATGGTCCCACGCTCCAGGTCCACCCAGGCTGGGGCGGGCTGGGAAAACTCAGCACTGACCCCTAGGGATTGGGGATGTGTTTGAATTTTGAGGCGGAACAAGAATTGAAGCTTTGGGACAAGGGCAATAGAATCCTGTTGACGACCCACTCCCTGTGGTCTGTGGAGGGTCAAGAGAGAACAGGGAAGCAGGAAGTGGGGACCCCAGGGCTTGGAGCCCAGGAAAGCCCCTAATTCCGCCCCCATCTTTAACATTGTGTCCAGGGTCAAGGCTGTGGCTCCCCACCATGGCCGTCCCTTCCTCCTCCGCTGTCTCTTTCTTTTCTTTCTTTTGAGGGCGAGACTTCCAAATTACAGGGTGGGGTGCCTTGCGGCCCAGTGATCGGGCTCCTCCATCAAAGCAGTAGTTCTGTCCCCCTGCACCTCCTCCCCACAGCCTGGGTGGGCACAGAACACAAGCGGATTGCTGTGTTTGCAGTTCTCTTGGGTTATACCTCAGCCCCAACCCCAGAGTTAATCACGATGTGAGTGGAGGCTTCCCAGAACCCCCAGTCATAGGGCAGCCCACATCTCGGGGGGTTCATGGGATTCACCGCACGCTTCTCAGAGCCTGCTGGTTCAGGGCAGGACCTGGGACTGGGGCAGGGGGGCAGGGGGCTGGCTGGCTCCCCAGCTGCTTCCTGCGAGAGACCCGGAGGATTTGGAGCCCCAGGCTGGTGGCCACACCCCTCACCTTCTCTAGGGTCTCAATCCGTTGTTTCAGGAGCCGGTTCTCAGTCCGAAGCCTCTATGGGGGTGGGGGTGGGGGGAGAGCATGTCAGAGCGGGCCTCCTCTCCTGTACACACATACCCCTCATTCACCCACCAACCAGGCCGGTGCTGTTAGGTGCCAGGCTACCTCCAGGCAGGACAATGCCAGCATCTTATGTTCTGGGTCAGCGATTTCAGAAAACAGGGCCAATTCCTGTTTAGAATGGCCCATTTAAAAAAAAAATTGGGGGGTGGTGGGGGCTGCTGGCTGGTTAGCTTACTTGGTAGAGCGTGGTCATGATAACACCAAGGTCAAGAGTTTGGATCCCCGTACCAGCCAGCCACCAAAAAAAAAAAAAAAAAAGGTTTTTAAAAAACAAACCTTGGCTTAATAAAAATAACGTGAGAGTTTTCATGGCTCTGTGGCCCCCACACTCCCCTGAGAAGTCTGTTCCATCCCACGTTTGTGTCTGTCAAGGGCAAAGGCCTCCGCGTTTTGGGGGAAGCTGCTGTCAGACAGCCCCTGCCCCACATTGCTTTGCTCCAAGCTCCTGGGTTAAATTCTGGGAGGACAGCCTCCTCCCAGAGTTTGGGCCTTGAGCGCCGAACACATATGCTTGCTTTGGCTCCACAGCTATATTTTCGTGACTTGCCAAAAGCAAGCTGTCCCCCAGAGGTTGTCACTTTCCCCGGCTGGGGTTTCGGAGATGGGTCCCTCGCTTCCACCTCCTATTCTGCACTGATGGACTTTGGTTAGATATTTGCGGAGTTAGGTTCCCCCACAGCCCCTCTGGGAAGCAGGTGAGGTTTACATACATGTTGTATCTAGTCTGTCCCTGCATCCCCATTATGAAATAGGTACAGAAATATTTGGATCAACAGATGAGTGAGGGTCTTGCCTTGCTGTGGGTCACACAGAACATTTCCTGGGTTTCATCCGGGAAGAAAAAGTGATGGAAACACCCAGAATGTTTCCAAGAAGCAACTGCAGTCAAAGAGAATTGCAGACTTGATGGTCATTGACTTATGTCATAGGTGGGGAAACTGAGTCAGAATGGGGCAGGGCCTTGCGTGAGCCTCCCAGCTCAGCCAGGTCAGAGCCATCTCAGCACAGGCCTCTGTCCCTTATGGCGATCTGAAGTCCTGACCCCTAGTCCCTGACACCTGAGCTGCTCTGCCCCTTCCTTGGCCTCAGCCGGTCACTGTACCAAGCAGAGCCATTCTTGGTGGAGTTGGACATGCCAGACCAACTCCCCTCTTTCTTGCTTACTCTAGAGGGAAAACAAGAGAGAAAAAACAAGCGAGAACTATGTGGGGCTGTATATCAACTAAGTTTTTAAAATTTTTTTTTGTATTTTATGATGCTTTGGCATCCTGGGGCCTTGCTACTTCTGGAGAGATTGCTTCTCCCAGGGCTAGCTAATTCCTAGAGATAGCAAACAACCTGCCTGTCAGTGCAACTTTCGTTTACAAACCAACCCATCCAGAGCCCAGACCCCCTACCACCTCTTTTATCTAACACCGACACACCGAGCCAATTATTTCCCCTAAATCGCCCCAGGGCCAGGTACTGGAAAACTGTGGATCCCTGGAGTCCAGGTCCCTACAGCCCAGAGGCAGCTGAAATTATTCAAACTATCCAATCCGAAGCCTGCTCAGACCTGCCCACCCTGCATCTCTGTTCCTTCCTGCGGAAGCCACACTAAGAGCTCTGGGCCATGCTTTCCCCCTCGTTCCTTCTGCTTCCTGACTGACCCTGGCATTTCCCCATGTGGCCCTGCCTGGCATGGTCTGCTCCCTCCTCTTGAGAACTGTAAGTAATAAACTCTTCTTTCAAAGGCAGTTGTTTCTGTATCTGTCACTTTGCCTTACTTGATTAAAACAAATCCTTGATATCTTTTAAGACAGGCTAAAGGCGAAAGAGAGAACGACGTGTCCATGTGAGAAGGCATCTGCCTGAAACCTTTAAGGCCTCTGGGGCTCTCTACTGTGTCCTTGCCTTCTGCTGGCCTCTCATGGTCACCAGATAGGAGCAGGCCCTTGTCTGTACACAGGTGGGACAGACACACACGTGTGGACTGCTGCACCAGTCAAGCTGCCATTCCTGAGAAAGGAAGATGCTTCAAATCTCAGGATACAAAACTATTTCTGGAAAACCTACAGATGGGTCCAGGACAGTGATGCCTTCTTCCCACCTCAGGCATGGATGGCAGGTGACCTGAATTCTAATCTAGGTTCCGCCCCTGCCTTTCTAGAGAAGGTAGGGATGATGGTGGTGATGGTGATGATGATGGTAGTAATAATAATAATAATAATTTGAACAGCAGAGCAAAACAAATATTTTGCAGAAGGGGCCAAAGAAGCTCAGAGAGGTGAATTCACCTGCCGGGGTCACACAGCTGGTCTGGGTGGAGCTGGGATTTGAACCCTGGTCTGTGAGACTCCAGTCTCAGCCATTGTGTGACTCTGCCCCTGAAGAGGAGAGAGCCAGGCTATGTTGGGGTTTGTGTCCATGACTGTCCTCCTCACTGGACTGAGGCAGGGGGTGCACACAGCCCATGCTCAGTTAATGCTCGTTTAGTGAATAACTAAATCATGTGTGGAGGGATGCCATCTTCCAGGATGGTGATAGAGGCTCTGACACTTGGGGAATCTCTGGCCTAGTGGGGCTGGTGGGCCAGGTACTAGGGGAACTTGGGGCCCTGGGGGAGGGGCACCTGTACCATGACCTGCACACCCTGGTGTCGGGCCCCTGCCTGCTTCGGATCTTCCACTTGTCCCCTCAAACCCCGGGGGCTCCCCACAACACAGCCTTCTTAAACCCTTCCAGCCTACCAGGCACGCTGTTGCCTTGGGCCTTTTGCACCTGATTCCCTGGGCCCGGGGCATTTCCCCAGGTCAGCCTTGCCCCCCACCTGCACATTTTTTTCCAGAGCATTTTATGGAGTCCACATTCTATTTTAGTGGTTTATTGACTGTCTCCCCATGATACCGGCAGCCACGAGAAGGCAGGGGCCTTGACTGTCCTGTATGACGCTGTGTTGCCAGCACTGAGAACAAGAACAGGGCCGGCTGGAGCAGGCGCTCACATGCTGACCTGGCAGTGAAGGAAGGGGCAGGTGGGCAGAGGGACGACCCCTCAGAGGCCAAGGCCACCTCCCAAGGACAGCCTGGTCTGGCTTGTGCACTGGTCAGGGCCTCCCTCTAGTGGCCAAACTCTAGAGCAGGGGGGTGGGGGGCCCAGGAACATCCCACCCATATCCCCTCCCCCAGGGCCCTGGGACTCACTTTGATCTCTATCTGCTCCTCCATCTCCTTGCTCTTCATGGCTGCATACTCCTTCTCCAGCCTGCAGAGGGGGAGAACCAACACGGTTACTATCCCGCCCTTGGGGGCTCTCCACTTCCCGCGAGCACCCTGGCCATCCGGCACTGACCTCTTCATCTTCTTGGGGTTGTACTTGACTTGGTAGGCTTTGAAGACCAGCTTGTCTGGGCAGCTGTCAAACTGGTGGGGGATCACTCTCTGGAAGTACTGTGGGGCATAGGCGGTCACCAAACTGGCCATCCGGCACTGACCTCTTCATCTTCTTGGGGTTGTACTTGACTTGGTAGGCTTTGAGGACCAGCTTGTCTGGGCAGCTGTCAAACTGGTGGGGGATCACTCTCTGGAAGTACTGTGGGGCATAGGCGGTCACCAAAATGTGAGCACTGACCACCAGGGCCCCCTGATCCCCTGCTGCCCTGGAGGAGGTGGGGAACCAGTCTGCCTGGGGCATTGTCGCCATTTCCCAGCACAGGGCCTGGCCAGTCATGGGCACTCAGTGTTTGTGCAGTGAATGGCCTGCCTTCCTAAGCTGCCTGCCGCCAGGGTTTCGGTTTCCAGGAGAGAAGCAGGTGGGGGAGCTCCTGAGGGCAAAGGCTGGGGGTGGGTGGGGTCTGAGCACAGTGGACCTTCACGGAAAAAGGGGGGTGGACATGCGGGGGCCCCTCAAGTCTCTGCAAAGGGTTAATGTAAGCCAGGGGTGGACAGGGCTCTTGCTCCCCAGTCCAGCTGGCCCCCTCTGGCAGCGGCAGACAATGGGCACCCGTGTTTGGGACACAACCGTGGCCTTTGTGCATTCTTCCCCGAAGCACCAGCTGGAGGACACTGGGAGGGGGCAGGGGCCTGCATGGTGGGGAAATGGCAGTGGGAGGTAGGGGTCCTCTTCTCCAGCAGGCAGGGCTGCCAGGGCAGGCTGGGTGGGGCCAGGTGTGAAGCTGCCCTAGGCCTCTCACTCCCTCTTGCGTCCTTGCCAGACCAAGTGGCTGGGACTGAAACCACATCCAAAGACTCGTGATTTGGCCACTGTTATATTTGCCAACAGGCTTTGGGGGACCCAGAGCAGGGGGCAGGAGGGAGAGGTGGGCTCGGCCTGGGCATAGGCCTTCCTCTCTCCCTCCTGCCAGGCTGCTGGCCCTGGACTGTGTCTGGCAGAGCCTGGGGGCTCCTCAGGGCCCACTCTGGTCCCTCAGGGAGGCCTCAGGGGACAGAGCAGATGAATAGGATCTGGGATGCTCAGGAACACCGCCTTTGTCCCCGGAAGCCAGGCCCTCCCATCTGGCTCTGGCCCTGCCGGCCCACCTGGGACATCCCCTCCATGTCCAGCTGCATCAGCTCTGTCTGGTTCACCTGCAGCAGGGCGAGGCCCACCCGGAACACGATCTCCAGCCCCTGCAAAGGTGTTGGCGGCAGTGGGTCTCCTGTTCCTCCTCCCCAGGTCCTGTCTCTTCCTCCGGTCATTTCCAGGGTGGGGCATGACTTGCTCCATCCGGAGTGGACCTGGTGGGGGTGACCCGCCAGGGTCTCACCTCGTACATAAAGATGTCGAAGATGCGGGTGGCGACGGGCAGTGGGAAGGTGGTCAGGAAGAGCGTGAGGAACCAGGATGAGGCGTACATGGACGTGTGGAAGCTCTGGGAGCGGAAGTGGGTGTTGAGGTCTGGGAGCTGCTCCTGTGGGGTAGGGGGAGGCCGGGTGGGCACAGTAAGGGGGGCACTGGGCATGACTCCCGCCCACCCGGAGGTGCTGGGCCTCGGTGCCCCTGCTTCCAGGGAACCTTCCCTAACCTGCCCTGGACAGCCCTTGACTCCCTTTCTTGGGGCTCCTTGGCACTGTGTTTGGGGGAGGCCAAAACAGCCCAGAGCTTTGAATAGCACAATGGGGAAGGGGAGGGCACAAATAGGGGTGGCACAAACTGCAACAGCTCATGGGGTCCTCACGATCACCCCAAGAGAGAGCTTTTGAGGCTCAGGGAGGTTAGTTTGCTCCCAAGGTCACCTGGAGAGCGAGAGGCGAGTGAGGGTGGGTTGGAGCACTGCCCTTGGTGAGAGCCCCTCACAGCTCACCTGGTGAAGCTTGGTGCACAGCAGTTTCACTGCCCTGAACTACAGGCTGATGGAAAGTGGCAGACCACTGGGGAAACTGAGGCTGGGAGAGCCGTTAGGACCTGGGGCTTCCTCCTGGAGCCAGGGACTCTCTGTGCTTGGCCGAGGGAGGACTTGGCTACCCAGCCTGGGGTGGGGTCGCCTCTTCTCTGTGGGCCCAGGACACCTGCTTGCAGCACTATCAGGTCCCCGTGAGCTACAGCATGGCCTGTCATCCTAGCCTGAGGAGTGGGGCCCTGACATCCAGGCATGTCCCCAAGCATATGGCCCCACCTGCCACTGGCTTCTGGAGCAGGCCTGTGTGTGCGTGTGTGTGTATGACTGTGTGTGTGTATGTGCGTGCTCTCTCGCAAACACGGCGCTTCTGTCTGCCAGCCAGGGGCGGGCCCCGCGGGGGCTGCTATTTATAAACAGAGACGTCTGCGGCTCTCTGGGAATCAGAAGCGGCAGGCAGATAACACTTTCCCCCTTCCACCACACCTGGGAGGGAGCAGATGGGGGTGGGGGGAGCTGTGGGTGTGTCTGATTGGAGCCATTTCTACCCCCCTGTCTTAGTAGTCCTGGAAGTGGGGGGCCCCACCCTGTGCCTCCAAGCATCCTCAAGGCAGTGCTGTGCGGCCCTGTGGGGACAGCAGCCCCTCTTGGAGGTGAAATGTTCCAGCTGTGATTTCTCAGGCCTGGGATTTTCAGTCCAAGAGACTCCTGGGGACAGCCTAGGGTGGCACCCCTGGGTGGGGACCCCAGCCCTGCTCACCTGCAGCATGTATTCGAACTGGTAGATGCAGAGCCCTAGCTCAGCCATGGTGGGCTTGAAGAGCTCCCGCAGCCGATACTCCTGCATCAGCCTCACGAACACGCAGAAGGCCTCTTCCTCGGGCATCTGGGGAGGTGGGAACTCTGAGTGCATGCAGGGTGGGGTGGGGGGACCCTGGTGTGCATGGGGGCCTGTTTCTGTTCTCTCTCTCTTTTTTTTTTTTTTTTGGTGGCTTGCCAGTATGGTGATCTGAGCCCTGGACCTTGGTGTTATAACACAGTGCTCTACTGAGCTAACCGGCCAACCCTGCTCTGTTTACTTTCATTGAACACTAACTGTGCCTGGCTACCTGGACACTTGCAACAAAAAGCTACTACATATGGTTATCAATGTTTTAGTGATGTAAAACCTGAGGTCGAAGTCACCTGCTGTGGGCCACCTGGCAGGAAACAGGGGAGCTGGGACTTGAACCTGGGTCTGGCTGCCGCCGGCAACCACAATGCTGTCCAGTCCCAACTGTCTCCATTCTCCCATCCTAAGCCTTCTTGTTTCTCTGGAGGAACCTCTCAGACCCTATAAACACCACGCTGTCTGATCTGAGCCCTCTCCTGAGGTCCCTGTCTAATTCAAGGAGGTGACAGAGAGGCCCTGCATGGCTGCCCCTCTAGCCCAGCCAGGACAGGGCACAGCCACTGGAGGCTTGGCCTGAAGATTGTCAGGGGTCGCAGGTGGATGGAGAGGGAGGCTCTGACCTAGGATGACACTGGATGGAGGGAACACTCTGTTTGTGTCCACCTCTTGGGGGCACCTGGCCGCAGGCCACCTACCTGCATGAGGAGCAGGCCCACAATGAAGGCGCTGCCCTGGCAGTAGCCCACCTCCCGGTCTACCAGGGAGTACGCCTGGAAGGGAATGACGTGGTGTGAGGGCAGGCTCCTGCCCGCTCAGCAAAGCAGGCCGGTGTGGGAACTGCTCCTTCAGGAGGGGCTGGGGAGCCCTGGGCCTCACCTTCATGACATTGAAGAGGACTTCCTGGCCCAGGCTGTCCTGGCCTTTGAAGAACTCGTGCTCTGGGTAGGTGCGGGCGATGTCCCTGCGGATCAGCTTCTCGCATGGTGAGGACATCTTGAGCAGCTCTGAGTACTGGTTCTTGACTGGCATGTCTGTGGCACTGCACAGAAGCTGCCACACAATGGCCCGGAAGTGGTGCGGGATGCCCTTGCGGATCAGTTCCTGGCCATGGGGTGGGGCGGGGAGTGGGAGGTTGGGGCTGGTCTCTGTCCCAGTCCAGCTTCCCCATGGCCACCCAGTCTAGTCCCTCCGGTGTGGTCTGCCCATGCCTTGCCATGCTGCAGATCAAGAATCCACAGTGCCTAATGCTCTGCTCCTAATTCTTTGTGGACACCGCAGGGCAGAAAGCAAACGGGCACCAAAGTTGCTGGGGCCTATTCAACCCTACCCCTCCCTCTCCCTTGTCTCTGGGCCCTAGCAGGATACCCCAAAAGTGCCTGCACATCTCCACTTCTGCCCCTTTGCCCAGGCAGGGTCCCTGGCAGGCCCTGGTGCTGCCCGGTGGCTGTGTGACCATGCTGGCTGCCTGCACTGTTGGCCCCGCCTGCCTGTCCGCCCAGCTGCCTGCACCACCTTGAGCAGCTTCTCCTTTCTGCGCCGCCACTCCTCCCACTCGTTGGCAATCCGGCCCCACAGGATCCACGTGTCCTCCTCCAGGTGGCTCAGGTTGGAGGAGGCTGAGGAGCTGGACACCAGCGAGGAGCCGCTGTTCCTCCGCGAGCCATTCATGGAGCGCATGGACTTGGAGTCGGCTTCCAGGAGCCTGGGTGGGAAGGGCCAGCCGAGGTGGCTCCAGTGACTCTCTGAGGAGAGGGGGACCTCTGGAGAGCCCAGCCCCTCCTCCCAGCATCTCAGAGGAAACCAGGGATTAGGTCTGTGTCCTCCTTACTAAGTGACCATGGCCAGTGACCTAATATCTCTGAGCCATGGTCCTCATCCATCGGCCCTAAGAGGCTTCTGTGTGTGTTCCCATTCTGTGCCAAGCACTGGGTGAGCACCATGAGGCTTAGCTCATTTAATTCTCAGACCAAGTCTGCAGGGCAGGTTTTGTGACAACCTATCCTTTACAGGTGAGGTGTAGAGAGGGTAGGGCCTGGCTGAGGGCATCTAGCTAGTGAGGGGCTGTATTAGCCATGTGATCTTTGGTTTTTTTTTTTTGTATGGCTAGCTGGGACAGGGATCTGAACCCTTGACCTTGGTGTTATGAGCATCACACTCTACCAAGGGAGCTAACCAGCGAGCCCTGACTATGTGTTTCTCATGCTTTGACATTGGGGGGTCCTTGCTGACTCTGGAGGGAAGGCCCCTCCCAGGGCTAGCCAGTTTCTAGAGAGAGTAATGGACCTGCCTTTCATATGCAAACCTACCAATCCAGAGCCCACCCTCCAATCTTCTCCTCTATGGGGCTCTCAACTCAAGTCCGCTACCCACCTGCCCTAATCACCCCAGGGCCGGGCACCAGAAATCTAGGGATAGCCCTTATGCCCCAGAGTCCTATGCAATGATTCAAACTAGTGAATCATAACCCTGATGACCCTGCCTTGCCCGTTCCTTCCCACAGAAACCACAGCAAAGGCTCCTGCCCACACTGCCCCTTGCATCTCTGTCTCCTATCCAGCCTTGGTGCTTCCCCATGGGGATGGTGTCCCTTTCTCTTGGGAAGTGCAAGTAACAAACTTTTTTTTCAGTGGCAGTCATCTCCTGATCTGTTGGCCTTGTCACACCTGAGCAATAATGAAACCTACGTTCTAGAACGAGGGCAGGCCGGAGGAGGAAGGCAGGAAGGCCTGACTCCAGAGTCAGAGGCTTTAGCTTCCGCCCGCCATCCACGGCTCGATAAACAGATTCACTTGACCTCTTGAAACCTTGGTCTCCTTATCCAAATGGATGGGACCAATCTGTTCAGCCAGAGCTGGGAGGATGAGAGGAGACATCCCTTGTCTGGCAGCTGATGGCAGCCAGACCTGTCTTGAGTGTGAAGTGGCCCCAGGAACTTCGGTGTGGGGCCCAGGCTGCACTCCTGAGTCCCTCCCTGTTCCCAGGCCCCAACTCACCGGTTCTGTTCTTCGAGCTTGGCTAGCAGCTCCAGCTCATCGGGGCTGAGGTTCTCGGAATCAGAGGTCGGGGAGCAGGTGGGGGCTGACAGGGCCTCCTGGGATGAGGAGTCAGGGCTCAGAGTGGGGCTTGCCATGGTGGGCAGGCTTGTCAATGGCGAGTAGGGCTGGGTCACAACTCTGTCTGGGGGCCAGAAACACACATGATTGGCATGGGGTGGATGCCCACCCATCCTGCTGGCTCTGGGCCAGCCAAGCCTGCCTGCTCACCATCAGGACATCTCGTCACCTGGGCTGCCCACCTCTGATCTGCCCCCTTGGTGTCCCCCTTGTCCCCACATTCCCCAGCCCCCCAACAGCCATGCTGGCTCCTTCTTGTCCAGACTCTGGCTACTGGGATCTCTGCCTTTGTAGTCAGGCCAGACACCTGGATGGAGACAGGAGTACCATGGCCAGGACCTGAGCTGTCCTGCTGTCCCTGTGCATGAAAGCCAAGGCCCAACTTGACATCTCTAATCTGCAGCAGGGCCGAGGGTGGAGGCTACTGTCACTCGGGGCCCCAAGGACCCTGCTGGGGACTTGGGGGTATAGAGCCCCTGCTTCAGTGGCCCTTCCTGACCGCTTGGCCCGTCTCCTGCTGCGGCCTGCCCTGGGATCCCTGCATCAGCATCTGACCTTCCCCATCTCATCAACCAAAGTGGGCTGCTGGCAGAGCCAGAAGCAATTATTCTCAACTGTTAATTGTCTAGCATTGCCAATGGCCGGAAGAGTTGGCTCCCCTTGCACTGGAAAGCCAGGACACGTCAAAGTGCTGGGAATCTGTGTCCTGGAGGACACAGAGCCAGGGCTGTGAGCTCTGATCAGTATCCCTATCTCACCAGCCATGTGCCAGGCAAATGCCAGGCCCATATCTTGTCCTTTCAGGGTGTGGTCTGGTCAGACCCTTCTGGGGGCTTCAAGGACACTGGCTTCTTGCCTTCTACCAGCCTGGTGGAAGACAGATCAGCATCATGTTGAAAACAAAGGCTCCAGGTTCAAATGGACCTGTGTCTGAAGCTTGGCTCCCCCTCAATCAGCTGTGTGACCTTGGGCCAGTCACTTGCCTTCTCTGTTCCCTATAGATTGGGATCGTGTAGGACTTACCACAGAGGGTAGCTGTGAAAACTGAGCACACAATCACACATAGTGTTTAGAACAGTGCCTGACACTTAATGATTGCCCGATAAACATCGGCGGTTACTGTCCACCCTGGGGCCAGTGCTGAGGTCCAGCTGGGAGCCGGGTACTGGGCTCTGCCACTACCTATGTGGGGACTGCGGCAGGATTGGCATCACCTTGGCAGGGGGTTCTAGAGGCTAGAAATGGCTATGGGAGGGGCTGGGGACAAGTCCTTCTGCCCAGTCATGCTTCTGTGCCACTGGGCCCCACCTGACCTGGCTCTGACAGCTCAGCCCACAGGGGAGGCCTCACTGGGTCCCTGGAGTGGGGGGGCATTTGGCCTCCTAGGTGGCAGGGGGATGGGGCAGGACAACAGCAGACCGCTTTTCACCGGCCAGGCCATTCTTAGGTCACTAGGCACCTTCCCACAGCCCCTCCAACACCTGATGGCCCACCGGTTGGCTGGATTTGACCCTGGCCATGCACTTGATTCCTGTCCTCCTTCCCGTGTTGGCCTGTTATGAGGTAGGAGTGAGGGTGCACCATTCCTTTTTCACCTCATGGGGGGCCCAGACCCCTCCCTCCCCAGGACTCTGTGGCTCCCCGGGACCACTGGTTCTCCCTTTGGCTCCCAAGAGCTCCCCCAGTTGTTGGGCGCTTAGGGCTCTGGATTTTGGTGAGTGGTAGAAACCTTCTCCCATCGTCCAGCTAGCCTGGGACCACCTGCCCTAAAGACCAAGCTGCCCAACCAGGAGTTAATCATTCCTGAGAGAAGGACAGTGGGGGCCTCCTGCAGAGTCAAAGTCTGTGGCCAGAGGGTTAAGAGACGGGAACTGTGGACAAGAAGTGCTGAGTGGAAGATCTTTCTGGGCAGGGAGGGGCTGGTGAGGCACCTTCAGGGTTGGCAGAATGGGGAGGAGGTGGTGGAGGCGAAGATGGGAGCCTCAGGACCACAGTCGGACTTAGGGAGCAGTGAGAGCTCTGAGAAAGACCCCATGTGGCCAGGCAGTGGCCTGGGGCCATGTCTCCTTGCTGAGCTGAGGGGATCCAAGCCTCAGAGAGTGTGGGCCCCACCCTTACTCCCCACAAGGAGCCACACAGAATGGTTTGACTCTGGGTTTCTGATAAGAAAAAAACAAACTAAAAGCCCAGAGGCCATCCACTAGCAGAGTTTGTTCAGCTATTTATCACATATTAGTGTGTATTTATATGAGAAATGTGCATTTTATGCAGGAAATAAAATGTATTAAACACACAGGGTTGAAATTTGCAGTCTGAGATGCAGGAACCTTTTGATCTCACCGGAACTTTCTCTTGGCTCATCTCCAGACTCTCTAAACACCACCCATCCCTGGATACTGTCCTCCTGAAGCATGAGCACGCACGCACGCACACACACACTTGGACACAGTCTCTCATACCCCCCACATACTCATTCACACCCTCCACACACATACAAACTCTCTCACACATATACACGCACACTCGGATGCACACATACTCACAAACATGTACACAGACACACTCTCACGTATGCATATGCACAGTTGGACACACATCTACTCATGCATGTTCACATTCCCACAAACAAACAAAACAACACACATACACTGGGGCACACAAAACATACACGCTCATTCACACACACTCTCTCACACCCACCCACCCTCACGCATACAAACTCTCTTACACACACACATACACTCAGATCCACACAGACCCATATGCATTCATCACACTCTCTCCAACACACACACACTGACACACATCCACACTTACACGCTCTCCCATACACTCTCACACTCTCTTACACACATACACATGCACACACTCATTCTCACACATACACTTCCTGCACCAACCAGACC